TGATGTTGGAGTAAGTTATTATTATTTCTATTCCTTGACATTCTGATTAGGTCATCAGCATCAGTCGCTATTCGCAGCTCTTCAGTTGCTTTTATTAAGTAGCAGACTCCTCCCCTAGTTGGCAAATTATTCAGATTTAGGAAAGAGTGATGTCTCTTGAGACAGTGCTTGCCCCAGGCCAGATGAAACCCAGTCATGCTGCTATAGGAATCAGAATGAATCATGGAATTTTAAGAAAAATGTTGAGTATTTTATGATTTCTAGGGGATATAAGGGCATGTCAGCCACCTTTGGATTAATTCCAGCTTCGATGATTTCTGAGAGGGAGCACTGAGGAATTGAATATATAACTTGATATGCTAGCTAATTCTGTGACTGCGTTCTTAGTTGGGGCTGTGTAAACACACTGTACATGTTCTTCTTTGCTTTTGTGTTTATGAATTAGAGCAAAGCTCATAGGCAGGTACAACTGGAGTGTAGGTTTTCACGGGCTCATGAGCACAGTGGAGTTCCTTTCAGGATTTCTGAGGATTGTCCTTTGTCTTTATAAAGAGTCCAAGAGTTAGTCTATACAGGTTGATTTTTTTTACACATTAAAATTAATCTTGAAAAGTTGTATATAGAACATTTGAAAAATTAAGTCACATTTTCCCATTCTAACTAAGCAAACTTGTCACAGAAAAAAAATACTGTGGTCCTTTTTTCTAATGAAACTCAAACTTTAAAGTATTAGCCCTTTTTATGAGTATTCTGTATTCATCAGCGTACAGATTACAGTAATCTTTTTTTGTACAGGAAGATACATTGAGTTGATCCACACCATTAAAAACAAATACTTGTCGCTTTACTGAGATTTGTCCCTCAAGGTGTGGAACTTGAATGTTTAAGCAGACACATCATCTGTGGCATTCTCCTTTAGTGACGTTATCTGGTGGGTAGAGACATAAAAACCTGTCTTTTTATTTAGATTTATTGGGCTGTGGTCTTCTGTGGTCAAAGTAGGACTTTAGATAGATCAATATGAACTTTGAAAAACGAATGTGCTGAAAAAAATGCTGGCCTTAAAATAGAGCGGTATCTATGGCATGTATGAATATTGTTTGATCCTGCCTCTGTTTCATAACAGTTGAGGCACCAGTCAGCCTTGCATTTTGAATCCTGTAAAAGCCAAGTACTCTGTCCTTACACAGGACCTGGAACCCCTGAGCAATGAGATGGAGATTCATGGCCAAGGACACAGAGTAGCGTTAAATCTCATGCTGGGTTAGTTCTAAAAGCCAGGGTGTAGAACAAAAAAATCCAATAGATTTATTCTAGTAATTTCCTTAAGTCACCCTTAAAGTACAATATGTGCAGTTTTGTGTATGTAACTCCGAACAGTAATTCTTATGCACAACATAGTCCGAGAGCCACTGGGCTAGAATAAAGGAGGGGACAACAGGGGTGCTGTCTGCACACTCCAGCTGTTGTTTCTTTCTGGTAACTCCCCAGCCCCTGGAAAAGTGGAGACTTCTAAAGAATCCCACTTGCCTGCAGCATTTACTCCATTCTCCTTTAAGATTTCAGGCTCCTGTGCTCTTCAGACATGTTAATATATTCATTTGGTCAGTAATTTAAAGATGAAACGAGGCAGTAGACACGAAAGCACCTTGTTCGGGGCCAGGTAATGTGTGTGATAGATTTCAGTTGAAGCGTTGCTTGTCCTTGTTATTTGGAAAGTTGTAGAGAAGAATTTGGCCAGCCGCTTCCTGTCTTTCTAGGTTGGGACTCCCCACTGTCCAGCAGTGACTTAACATGTTCTTGAGAATTGGCTGCATCTGCGGGCCAGTTATAGGCAGTGGTGGGTAAAGTTTTCATGTCTGAGCTTTTCATATCAGGCCTACATTTGGCAGATATGATGTGACTCAGGTGACTATTCTATATACCCTTGGGATCTGTAGGTCTCCTCTCGGCCTTCTAGAGTTTAGATTTGTACGTGGTGAAATTGTGTAACCCACCTACCTAAGACTTTCCATGGTGAAATTGCGAATCTGTGTTTTTAAATGTTCTTATTATGTATTTTGGGGTGTATGTAAAGTCCATGTTTTTAGAGAGCTGCCCAGGTGATTCTCATGTAACCAGCATAACCCTGAGAAGTGGGATATTTTGCCATAAGAATCTATGAACATTTCTCACCCTTTTTCAGCTTAAATTATTTAGGAAATGACTAACTGTATTTTTCATGTAGGTTGAAAAGGACATCATTTCAGTTATTAAGTGAATCAGCCATTTATTAGGTGAATCAGCCATAAGATTGACCTTGTAGTAGATATAAAGTTAGTACACTTACGTGTACATATTTTAAAAACTGAATAGCGACCAAGCCAACTGCTTGCTTGGGGTGCTAGAGCCTTTGATTTCCACTCCAAGGTATCTTCTGGAATGATCACCTGAGGTTTTGTTTGCTTGTTTGTTTCTGATAACTTGGGTTTTGAACTTTTTTCCCATTTTGGAAGGTAACTTGGTATTATTCATAATTTAGTATAGGTTCAGAATTTTACTTAAAATTCAGTTTAAAAAGGAAATGTACATTTCATCTTTGAGTTACTGAGATAAGGAGCTCTTTCAACGTTAAGTTTCTTGTACTCCAATAAATGTTTCTGTCGTCACTTGTCCTTACCTTCTTTTTTTAATTTAGTCGTTATTGTATTTTTTCCATTACCATTTAGTTGGCCCCCCACCCATCCCCCCAGCAATCACCACCCTGTTGTCCATGTCCATGAGTCCTTTTTCCTGAATCACTTTTATTTTTTTCATTTTTTATTTATTTTTAATATATTTTATTGATTATGCCATTACAGTTGTCCCATTTCCCCCCTTCATTCCCCTCCACCCTGCACACCCCCTCTCACCCACATTTCCTCCCTTTAGTTCATGTCCATGTGTCATAAGTTCTTTAGCTTCTACATTTCCCACACTACTCTTGCCCTCCCTGTCTATTTTCTCCCCACCGTCTATGCTACTTATTCTCTGTACCTTCTCCCCCCTTCTCCTTCTCCCACTCCCCTGTTGCTAACCCTTCATATGATCTCCATTTCTGTGGCTCTGCTCCTGTTTTAGGTGTCTGCTTAGTTTGCTTTTGTTTTAGGTGTGGTTGTTAATAACTGTGAGTTTACTGTCCTTTCACTGTTCATATTTTTTATCTTCTTTTTCTTAGATAAGTCCCTTTAACATTTCATATAATAAGGGCTGAATCACTTTCTGATTCAGGAAGTCTTTTCTTTACTTGCGTGTGCTTGGTCCCACCTGTTCCAGTGTCTCTCGGATTGTGACTCGTCAGTTATGCTCCTTCCCTGTGTCCTTCATCTCCTTCTGCCTCTTATGTCTTTCCCCCAGCTTATGCACAAAAACCTGTTTCCCCACATGAAAATAACCAGCCCTTCTCTCCACCTTGCTCTGCTTCAGTCCGCCATATTATTTTATATCTGTTTCTCCATTCTGCCCAGTGTTCTTGAAAGATTCACTATATTTGCTACCTCTACACCTTGCTTCTACCCTCACTGCTTTATTGGAACTCCACGTTAAAGGAGTCACTAGTGATTCTCATTTTCCACATCTTGCTGTCTTTTCTAAGTTCCCATCAAGCTCTGACCTTTTGCAGTATTTGAGGATGCTAATCACACTCTCTGTGTTGACATCTCTTCCATGGACATATGTGACACTTCAGGCTCAGCTGTCTAGCCTCTGTGATTGCTTGTTTTTTACTTTGCTGAATCATCCTCTGCTTTTGCTATGTGAATGTATTTATTAACACGTTCTTCTGCCTTTGCTGTCCTTTTCACTTTTGTGCATTCCTCTTTGCTGTATTTCAGCTCTAGGAGCTAGGGCAAATCCATGGGGTACACCCTAGGGAGTTCTTGGTATGAACCCAGAGGATAATACCTGAGACACAGAGGAAGGGAGACCCAATGTCAAAAATGGGGCTTGGATATCAAATCTGGAAGATAAGGATGACAAATGGGAAAGTAAACAGTAACACTGGTAATTCGTTTGATAGGAAATAGGGTAGACATATGGTCAAGAGCATAAATGTGTATTTTCTCCAGATCACTTGGTACATGAGGGCCTAATGCGTGTTACCTGGGAGTATGATCTTTTTAAGGAATTGCACTGGGGGTTTGGGTTCAACAGTTACTTCTCTGCAGAGGGAACCTCAACTCTGCATCTGAAGGACCGTTAGATTCTCCCATGAACCAGACATCTAGTTCATCTTCCTCTTGGATAGTTTCACCTGAATACGTAACTGGTCTCCCAAGTTTAACATATTCCAAATGAAATGTATTATCTTTATCTTGAGGTCAACTTCTTTTGGGGGGAGACTCCTAATATATCATTTTTCTGTCATTCTGAACCAAAAATCCAAAGCCATTGGATGGGTTCTCCTAGTCCACGTCCAGCAATTAAGAAGTATTGTCAGTATTATCTCCGTGATGCCTTGCCACTGGCCCTGCCTTTTGCTTCAACTGCTGATTTATGGGATGACTGCTACTTAACACTCCAGAGATGGCCCCCCCTCCATTGAGTATCCTTTTACCCCAATTCTATTCATTACTGCCAAAGTAATGTTTCCAAAACTGAACTGTGAATCTAGAAGACAATTTAAACTTATCATAACATTCCTAGCCAGAGATAATTGCTTCCCCCTTGGTGTTTCTGTAGCATTGAATGCTTTCTACCATTCTGTATTTATGTGTGAATAATATATATACTCTATTATGTATTATGTATATATTGCTATATGTGAATTATAAATCCCTGGCCCATGGGGGGCAGGAACTGTACCTTATTTACCTGCGATCATAATATATTCCTTTCATTGACATGCAAGAAATATTTATTGAATGGAATTAAACAGCTAGCGGGGCTGCAAGAAATCTGATGTCAATAGTAGGTGATCTATGAAAGTCATTTTTGATTTAACATTAATTTCACTTTTTGTGCATTTGTTTTATTCTGAAAAGCTTTATTATTAAGCCTTGCTGATGGCATAAGTGGAACAGTTAACTGGAAGACCAAACAGGCCAACAGTTTTATTATCGGCAGAAAAATGGCTGTTGGGAAGAAGCATGGTGAGTTTAGGTGGTAAATCTCAACCCCTTTGGGGGAGTCAACTCAATGTCTACTTCCATTATGCCTTTTTCTTTTTTTAGTCACATGTGGATATTTTTTTAAACCAGTTTGAAAAAATAATATTTTGTTTTTCTAATCTTCTAAAACTTCTGATTCTCTATGTTCTTAATCCACTATTTTCCCTTTTTTTAAACTAAAATAATTTTATGTTTTTAACCTATTGTTGCCCCTTATCCAGTCACTGGCTTACCACTTATAAAAATTGTCCCAGTCTGGCTATTATAACAATATACTTACCACATTGAAAGACGGTAAAATGTACACTTAACATAAATCTTTTTAAAACCGTATTTCCATAACCTTAGAAAAATGGTCATAAAATATTTTGGCTAATTGTGAGTGATTTTTTTGAGTGACTTTTGTGCAAAACCATATTGATATGTTTTGCTGTTAATTAGATGGCACTTATTTTGTATTGGAAAGATGAGCCGACCCTTAAATGATTGATTGTTCTTTCTAAATTCTTCTTTCATATGTATAAATGTATCTATTGGCAGCATCCTGGGACCTTAGAAATACTGCATTTTATCAGGGAGAAAAACTCAGTAACCTAAATAATAGTTGTTTTCAAAATATCAATTATTACCACAGCTTTCAGTTAGTATTTTATTTCTTGTTTATTTGCCTTTATGTTCCCTCTTACTCCTCACCACTACCAACACACACACATACACACACACACAATTTCAACTGTGTGTAGTCATGAACGTTCATAACTTTGGGGCAACGAAAGTGTCTATAAAAATGACAATTTTAAAATATTTTAAAAACAGTAGTAATTTATGAGCCAAAATGGCCTCACTGCCAAATAAACCCCCCTAGGTACCTAGTAGAAGTGATTTTTGGCTTATCCCATTTTCTTTATCTGCCCCTTCAGTTGGGGTCACTGACTCTTTCCCAGCTAACACCAAATTATCCCCTGGCTGGAATCCTCAAGCCCCAGATCTGCTTTATAGAAAGACAAAACTTCTGAAAGTCTCTTTTACCCCTCTTCTTTACAAATCTACACATGCCATTGCTGATAGCAATAAAAAAATACTAAGTTTTATAATAGTAACTTCACATGAACATGGGAAAATGTGTTGTAAAAAGCACTAGATCCATTGTTCCAGGACCTGTGCCCATCACCTGTAGTCCATGCCCTACTTTCTCCTCAGATTTTCTCGTGAGATTCCCTCTGATTTCTCTGAGGAAATCACCCCTAACTACCCTTCTCTGGCTGCTTCCTTAATCAAGTTGAAGGCCTTCAGCTTCTTTGGTACGTCCGGTCTTTCTGGTCATGGTCATCAGATGGCCCTCAGTGTTGCCATCTGCAGTGTGCTTCTGCTCTGTCACCTCTCAGAGACGTGGGACCTGCTCTGATTCTTGTGCCTGACTCGAGATCCCAAAGACTCTTCTTCTGGACTTGACACCAATTTTACACTAACTTGCAGTTATCATTTGCTTCAGTTTCTTCTCTTTAACTTTGATCCCTAGTACTGCTGTCCTTTTGAGCTTGTCCCTCTGTTTCCTATTTGAATTGCCAAAAGGTACTCTCTAACCAGCCGTGAAACACAGTTGAGTCATCTACTGTGAGGCTGTTCTTCAAGAAATTCACTACTCCAAGACCCTTACATATAAAGGTACTTGTCTCTTCCTATTTCAAACTTCACGCAGCTGTTGGACCGCAAACTGATGTTCTTCTTGGGATCTGAGTGGTACCTGTAGTTTTCAAAATAGAAATGATCAATGCATCTTGAACCTACTGAAGTAACTCATTCAGGTTACAGCATTTCTGGTATTTCTTCAGTTTCTTCTGAACTCATCCTTTAACTTCTTCTCCCTCTCTGGTCTCTTCATTCAATTTAAATTCTACCATTATGGTTATTTATTATCAAAATATACAGAGAGCAATTAAGTTTCATCAAAATTGTTTCTAGCAGCTTACTGTATTTAGCAAGGGCACTAAATTTTCTTAAAAATCCTCACCCAAGGACATTTTTTTCATTGCTTTATAAGAGAGGGAGGGGGCAGCGGGGGAGAGAGAGAAAGAGAGGTGAGAGAGAAACATGGGTTGGTTGTCTTCTGGAGCACACCCCCCACAACCAGGGATCGAATCCACAACCTAAGTGTACTCCCTGCAGGAATCAAACCCACAACCTTTTGATGTGCCAACTAATTGAGCCACATTGGCCAGGGCTAGCAGGGGCATTTTAAATGCTATCTCAGATCTATCAAATGCACTGTGAGATTTTTTAAAATCCTCATTCCAGGGTATGTTTTATGGATTTTAGAGAGAGAGAGGAAAGGGGTGTGGGGGAGAGAGGGAGAGAGGGAGGTGGAGCAGAGAGAGAGAGAGAGAGACATTGATCGGCTGCCTCCCACACATGCCCCACCTGGGGATGGAACCCACAACCTTTTGATGAATGGGACGATGCCCCAAACAACTGAGCCACCTGGCCAAGGCTGTGAGATGTTCTTGACCATGAATCCCAGCCATCTGTGTTTGGCAATTTCAAGAGAGCACAAAAGATTGTAAGAGCATTTAAATAGGAAAATAAGTTTAGCAATTGTATTTTTTTGTAACTTTCTTTTTTTTAATTTATTTTATTGACTATGCTATTACAGTTGTCCCAATTTTTCCCCCTTTGCTTCCTCTCCACCTGGTAGTCCCTTCCCTCCAGCATTCCCCTCCACCTCCCCACCCTTAGTTCATGTCCATGGGCCGTGCATATAAGTTCTTTGGCTTCTCCATTTCCTATACTATTCCTAACACCCCCCCCCATCTATTTTTGTACCTACCGATTATGATTCTTAATCCCTGCACCTTTTCCTTCATTAGCCCCCTTCCCCCACCCAGCTGATAATGCTTCAAATGATCTCTGTATCAATGGTTCTGTTCCTGTTCTGATTCTTTGCTTCGTTTGTGTTTTTTTTAGATTAAGTTGTTGACAATTGTGAATTTGTTGCCTTTTTAATGTTAATAGTTTTGGTCTTCTTTTTTTTAAAATAAGTCCCTTTAACATTTCATGTAATAATGGTTGGTGATGGCTAACTCCTTTACCTTTATTTTGTCTGGGAAGCACTAACTGCCCTTCCATTCTAAAAGCTTTGCTGGAGAGACGAATCCAGGTTGTAGGTCCTTGGTTTTCATCACTTTGAATACTTCTTTCCAGCCCCTTTTAGCCTGCAAAGTTTCTTATGAGAAATCAGCTGATAGTCATATGGGAACTCCTTTGTAGATAACTCTCGGCTTTTCTCTTGCTGCTTTTAAGATTCTCTCTTTATCTTTAACCTTTGACATTTTACTTATGATATGTCTTGGTGTAGTCCTCTTTGGGTCTAACCTGTTGAGGACTGTCTTTACTTTCTGGACTTGTACATCTATTTCCTTTGCCAAATTGGGGAAGTTTTCTTTTATTATTTTTTCAAATAAGTTTTCAGTTTCTTGCACTTCCTCTTTTCCTTCTGCTACCCCTGTGATTTGGTGTTGGTACATTTGGAGATGTCTTTAGTGGGTTCTTATACTATCCTCATTTTTGTTCATTTGTTTTTCTCCTTGCTGTTCTGGTTAAATGCTTATTTCTTCCTCATGTTCCAGATTGTTGATTTGAATCCTGTTGTCCTCCACTCCACTGATGGTTCCCGTAGATTATTCTTTATTTCACTTAGTGTAACCTTCATTTTTGCCTCTATGTTGTTCCCATACTCGGTTCCTTGAGCATCCTGATCACCCATGTTTTGAACTCTGAATCTGAGAGGTTGAGTATCTCTGTTTTGTTTAGTTCTTTTTCTGGTTTTTTGTTCTGTTCTTTCATTTGGGCCATATTTCTTTGTCTCCTCAATTTGGCAGCCTCCTTGTGTTTGTTTCGGTGTATTAGGTAGAGCTGCTTTAACTTCCTGTCTTAGTAGTGTGGTCTGTTGTAGAAAAGGCCCCTGTAAATTGTGTGGGGTGGAGTAATCACCAGGTAATCACCAGGTTGGGGCAACCTACTTCGCCGCCTTGTGGCTCTGTGTAGGCAGAAGGCTCGTAGAGGGGACATTGCCTGTGCCTGGCTTCTAGAGGTTTGCCCAGCACTTGCCCCATTTCCAGTTACTTCACCCACATCCTATATGTGACTAATGCCCTTCCAGCTGTTGCTATGGTGTGAATCCCAGAGCAGGTGGGTTTATATACGTTTTGAGTCTCTGCAGGCCCTTTAAGCCTAGTCTCCTGAAAATCTGGCAGTCTCTTCCACCATTCCAACCCCCACTGGTTTTTATAGCCAGAAATTATGGGGATTTATCTTCCATGCACCGACCAGAATCCTGGGCTGTGCAGTCTGGCCTGGGGCTGGGATCACTCACTCCCACGGTATCCCTCCTTATTTTTTCCACCATACATGAATGTGGAATTGTTTATTCCACCACCGTTGCTACTCCTTTGTGCTGTACTGCATCTCCATGCTGCTCTGCCCATCTCTACAACTCCACCCCTCCTACCCATCTGGAAGAATGTCACTTTTTTTATTCCTTGGTTGTCACACTTCTATACAGCTCAATTTTCTAATGGTTTTGGGTGTTATTTGTTTTGAGATCTTGTAATTCTTTCTATGGTTGTGCGAAGAGGCAAAGCGTGTCTACCTATGCCTCCATTTTGACCGAAGTCAACCTTTCTTTTCATATAATGTCCCAATTCTTCATTTTAGCAGTGGAGTGGTGCCTTATCTGAAATAGGATTTTGAGGAATTTCAATGTCTCAAACCAACACTTTTGGTATCATTCTATCCCAATATACATGAAGTAGTTGCAAAAATCAGGAAGAACACTCTAAATATGGATTCCTTTTTCTTTTTTTATGGTGGGGGTAGAGGAACTTAATTTAACCCTGGAATAATTTAAATAAAAAGGAATAAGCCTTTGCATTACTCATTTACATACTTTACTTAAACATCTTCAAATTCTTTTTATTTAGGGCAAC